CCCTCATTAAGACCCTCTCCTCCAATCCTCGCCGGCTCTTCTCCACCTTCAACTCTCTACTCTCTCTGCCCCCACCTCCAGCCAGCACCTCACTCACCGCCCTTGAGATTGCCAATCACTCCAAAAACAAGATTGACGCAATTCGCAAGGACATCGCCTCTGCTCAAACTTCCTCCCCAGCCATCCCCTCTCACACAGCAACCCCCTCATCACCCCTCTCCCTCGGCCTCACCACTGTTCAGACCTCCACCTCACCTAACATTCCTCACACTGATGCACCCTCAACACTCCTTCGACCTTACTACCATTGAGGAGGTCACCAAGGTCTTCTCTGAAGCCCGTCCCACCACCTGCCCCCTCGACCCTGTCCCCTCACAACTCCTACGACCTCCCTCCTCCTCCATCCTACACTCCCTCACCCACATCTTTAATCTCTCCCTCTCTTCCGGTGCATTCCCCTCCCCTCTGAAGCACGCGCACATCACCCCCATACTTAAAAAGCCCTCCCTGGACCCCACTGACCCGAACAACCTTAGAACCATCTCCCTGCTGCCATTCACATCCAAACTCCTCAAACGCTTAGTCTACAATTGCCTAAGCTCCCACTTCAATGACAACAACCTCCTCGATCCCCTACAGTCTGGCTTCTGTCCCCTACACTCCACCGAAACCGCCTTACTCAAACTCTCCAACGACCTGCTAACCGCCAAAGCTAATGGCCACTATTCAGTGCTCCTACTCCTCGACCTCTCCGCGGCTTTCGACACCGTCGAACACCCCCTCCTCCTCAAAAAACTACACTCCCTTGGCCTCAGAGATTCCGCTCTCTCCTGGCTCTCGTCCTACCTATCAAAACGCTCCTTCAGTGTTACCTATAACGCTACCACCTCCCCCTCACTCCCCCTCTCTGTTGGGGTCCCTCAAGGCTCTGTCCTCGGGCCCCTTCTCTTCCCTATCTACACCTCCTCCCTTGGCCAACTCATACTCTCACGGCTTCAACTACCACCTCTATGCCGACGACAGGCAAATCTATCTCTCGACCCCTTGCCTCACCCCCTCAGTCTCTGCTCGAATCACAAGCCTACTGAACGACATGTCAGATTGGACGTCGCTCCACTTCCTTAAACTGAACCTCTCCAAAACCAAGCTCCTAGTCTTCCCCCCAGCCCGCATACCACCCCCCACTGACTTCTCCATCACGTCCAACAATGCCACCATCAGGCCAGCCCTGCAGGCCAGAGTACTTGGTGTCATTCTTGACTCCAATCTATCCTTCCAGCCCCAAGTCCAATCACTAACAAACTCATGCAGACTCCACCTCCGCAACATCGCCAAAATACGCACGTTCCTAACCCCAGAAACCACTAAGCAGCTCATCCACTCCCTCATCATATCTCGACTCGATTACTGCAACTCCCTCCTCACTGGCCTGCCTCGCCACAGGCTATCCCCGCTTCAATCGATCCTGAATATGGCAGCCAGACTCATCCATCTTACCAACCGCTCCGTTTCCGCCACCCATCTCTGCCTTCCGATTGCCCAATGGATCAAATTCAAAATCCTAACACTGACGTACAAAGCTGTCCATCATACTGCCCCAAACTACATCACTGACCTAATATCCAAGTACCACCCTACACGCACTCTCCGCTCCTCACAAGACCTCCTTCTCTCTAGTTCCCTAGTCTCCTCCTCCCATGCCCCGCCTCCAGGACTTCTCCAGGGTGTCACACATACTCTGGAACTCCCTACCCCAATCCATCAGACTATCACCTACTCTCCTCTCCTTTAGGCACACCCTGAAAACCCACCTCTTCAGGGAAGCCTACCCCACCCCCTGCTAATTCCCGACCTCCTCCACTCTTCCTACCACTCCATTCCCCACAGCTATTTCCTCCTGTACCACTATCCCCTCCCTCCTAGATTGTAAGCTCCAAGGAGCAGAGCCCTCAAACCCCTCGTGTATCGCATCGTATTGTTATTGTACTGTCGCATGTTCTGTCTCCCATTGTAATGTACAGCGCTGAGCGAACTGTTGGCGCTTTATAAATACTGTATAATAATAATAATAAAAGCAATTCTACTTACTTAATCTTTCACTCACTGGAACATCCCCATGTTCTAGGGGTGGACTCTTCCTTGGTATCCTCACAACCAAAGCAGAGCTATCATCCTGGCATTGGTCTGGATGACATTAGGATTTTAAATCACCAGAGCATGGGAGAGAAGATACAGTAGGAGCTGATCCAGCAGCTCAAAGAAGCCATTGCAATGGAGCACAACCTAACACAGAAACTCTGTACTCCTGCGCTGGGGATGGACTCAGCAGAGGCTAAGGTAACAATTCAGATGTCTTGGAATATGCACTCCTTGCTGCCCATAATGGACCGGGGTAGTCCAAATAATAGTCACTGGATACAAAGAAAAGAAAAAGAGGGCGTACCGGCCTAGTGCATTATCATAAAAAATATTTATTAAAAGGATAAAAAGTAAGTATCATACTCACAATAGACATACAAGACAAAGGCACATCACACTAAACAGCGATGTCCAATCCACACTGCATATAAGTTCATAAAATGGAACCCTGGACTTCCAACTGGCTAATGCATTTCGAGGACTCAACCTCTTTCTCAGGGCACCATGACAACTGAGATTTGCTACTTGCTACATTTTGGTCACACAACAATTCCTGGATTAGCTTCTGAATGGATTCTGCTGGAGTTGGATAAAGAGCAAATTTTTATTTATTAATCTCCCTTAACATCTCTGTTACTACGAAATATGCTACTTTATCACAAAGACTGCTTTAAAGGAGATGTTAGCAGAAATATATTTCTAAATATGTCAGAAATGTAAAGAAACTAACATTTTGTCACTTTACAATTTACATTTTGTCATATAATTAGCCCTGAAATAGTTATTCCAAAATATCTGTGCTAATAATCAAATAATGTAGCAATGGATGTCAAATCCCAGTGGGAACATCCCTTTGCTGGACTATATTTGTTTGAGTTGATTGTAGCCGTATTAGTGCATTTGCGACAGAAACAATTGAGTACTGTCCGTGATACTTTTTTACTTGCACTAACATACAATTTTGAGGACAAGCTTTCGGGGAATGTCCCCTTCTTCAAGGTCTAAGCAGTAATACTCACAAAGTTAGCAGAATGTTAGAAGAGATGAAATAAAAAAAAAAAAAAAAAAGGAGGCTAGAGATAAGATGCAGTCAAAGCGAGGGGGGGGGGAATACTACACTCACACAGAGGGTACTGGCCTTCAGACAACCCCCCAACCTCAGAAATAAACTAATCAGTAGGAAACTTCCTTCTGATAATGATGTCACAAATAATGGAAGCAAACCCTGCAATAAGAAACGCTGCAAACTGTGCAACCAAATCAATCCATCAAAAAGTGTCAGACACTCAAAAGGGATCTTCAATATCTCCGGATCATATAGCTGCATCTCCAGTAATGTTGTGTATCTTATCCAGTGCAGAAAATGCAGCAAAGTATCTTATGTTGGCGAAACAGGACAGAAGTTGCAAACAAGGATGAATTTGCACAGACATACTATCAAGGAACATAAAGAAGATGACCTCTGCACACCTGTAGGACATCATTTTGCACAACCAGGCCACACAATGGGAAACCTCAATGTTTTAGTACTTAAAGGAAATTTCAAATCCATTCAGGAAAGAAAAAATTTGAACTAAGAATGATAATTCTATTTGACACAAGAGATAAGGGCCTTAATTTGGACATGGGATTCCTCAATCATTATCCGACATTTTTATGACTATTAGCTGTAGCTTGACTCCCTCTGTGTGAGTGTAGTATCCCACCCCCCTCCCTTCTTATCTCTAGCCTCCTTTTTTTTTTTTTTTTTTCTTTCATCTCTTCTAACATTCTGCTAACTTTGTGAGTAGTACTGCTTAGACCTTGAAGAAGGGGACATTCCCCGAAAGCTTGTCCTCAAAATTGTATGATAGTGCAAATAAAAAAAGTATCACGGACAGTACTCAATTGTTTCTGGACTATATTAAAACTGAAATACTCAAGAAAACCCTCTCCATAAGGGAACAGGATCAGGCACCCTTTTTTTCCTCTCTGTGGCTCCAAGCCATCAACCCAAAAATACCACCATATTCTTTCCTGACCAACTTAGCACTCTGATTACAGGGTCACAGCAACAAACCCTATATGCATGATACAGAATCATTATTGCGTATCTCAGTGTCTATTTTGTTCCTCTTTCTTTCTTTTTTTTCCTTCATAGTTCTACATTTTTGCACAAAGTTACAATGTTACACTCTAATGGCACAGTGTTTCCTCTTCTCATTTCCTAGATATTTATTAAATAGCTCACCATGTCTCCAATTCTTCAATTCCTTGGGGGATGACAATAACAAATAACAAAATAACTATGGCAAGTTAATACTGAGTACTGAGACTATAACTGAAATGTTTTACTTTTGTCTCCCACTCGTGTTGCCTAATCCATATTTATTTCTGAATTGTACTTACTTATTAGAGATGAGCGAATTATTCAAAAATTCGATTCGGCTGATTCGCCGAATTTGCGGAATAAATTCGATTCGATGCGAATTTATTCGCTGTGAATTTAACTTATTAAAAGGGTTTCTAGGCTTCAGAGAGCCTTTATATTAGTGCAGAACACTGTACCTTTAATTTAAATGCCCCTGGAGTCTGCTGGGGAAGAGAAATAATACTGTCAGTCAGTATGACATGCAGATGAGTGCCGTCGATCTTAGAATCACCGCACACTTCACTCATTTGGGCAGTCACGGGGCCAAAACCAGAGTGTGGAGCCACAGTGTGGCGGTGGAGGCAGCAGCAATGGGAGGCCATACAGCACCCTATGACAAAATGGAACCCACCAGCAGTGTGAGGAGACCTGAAAGTGGCACATGGCAGAGTGTGGCGATGAAGACAGCAGCAATGGGAGGCCGTACAGGAACCCATGACACACTCTGGACCTGGCAGCAGCATGAGGAGGCGGTACAGGGGCCCATGGCAGAGTGGCGAAGCGTAAGCAGCTTAAATTGAAGGCCATACAGAGGCCTATGTTAAAAAGTCCCCCCAGCAGCAGTGTGGGGAGACGACTATCAAGAGTCCAATGGCAGAGTGGCGGAGCAGAAGCAGCTTCAATTGAAGAAGAAGAGGATGAGGATGAAGAAGAAGAAGAAGAAGAAGAAGAAGAGAGGATGGGATGAAGAAGAAGAAGAAGAGGATGAGGATGAAGAAGAAGAAGAAGAAGAAGAAGATGAGGATGAAGAAGAGGATGAGGATGAAGAAGAAGAAGAAGAGGATGAGGATGAGGAAGAAGAAGAAGAAGAGGATGAGGATGAATAAGAAGAGGATGAGGATGAAGAAGAAGAAGAGGATGAGGATGAGGAAGAAGAAGAAGAAGAAGAGGATGAGGATGAGGAAGAAGAAGAAGAAGAAGAGGATGAGGAAGAAGAAGAAGAGGATGAGGATGAAGAAGAAGAAGAAGAGGATGAGGATGATGATGAAGAAGAAGAAGATGAGGATGAAGAAGAAGAAGAAGAGGATGAGGATGAAGAAGAAGAAGAAGAAGAGGATGAGGAAGAAGAAGAAGAGGATGAGGATGAGGATGAGGATGAAGAAGAAGAGGATGAGGAAGAAGAAGAAGAAGAGGATGAGGATGATGATGAAGAAGAAGAGGATGAGGATGAAGAAGAAGAAGAGGATGAGGATGAAGAAGAAGAAGAAGATGAGGATGATGAAGAAGAAGAAGAAGAGGATGAGGATGAAGAAGAAGAAGAAGAAGAAGAAGAGGACGAGGATGAGGAGGAAGAAGAAGAGGATGAGGATGAAGAAGAAGAAGAAGAAGAAGAAGAGGATGAGGATGAAGAAGAGGAAGAAGAAGAAGAAGAAGAAGAGGATGAGGATGAAGATGAGGATGAGGAAGAAGAAGAAGAGGATGAGGATGAAGAAGAAGAAGAGGATGAGGATGAGATGAAGAAGAAGAAGAAGAAGAAGAGGATGAGGATGATGAAGAGGATGAGGATGAAGAAGAAGAAGAAGAAGAGGATGAAGAAGAAGAAGAAGAGGATGAGGATGAAGAAGAAGAAGAAGAGGATGAGGATGAAGAAGAGGATGAGGATGATGAAGAAGAAGAGGATGATGGTGAGGAAGAAGAAGAAGAGGATGAGGATGAGGATGAAGAAGAAGAAGAGGAGGATGAGGATGAAGAAGAAGAAGAAGAAGAGGATGAGGATGAAGAAGAAGAGATGAGGATGAAGAAGAAGAGAATGAGGATGAAGAAGAGGATGAGGATGAAAAAGAAGAAGAAGAGGATGAGGATGAAGAAGAAGAAGAAGAAGAAGATGAGGATGAGGATGAAGAAGAAGAAGAGGAAGAAGAAGAAGAAGAAAGGAGAAGAAGAAGAAGAAGAAGAAGAAGAAGAGGATGAGGATGAAGATGAGGATGAGGAAGAAGAAGAGATGATGAGAGATGAAGAATAAGAAGAAGAGGATGAGGATGAAGAAGAAGAAGAGAAGAGAGGATGAGGATGAGGATGAAGAAGAAGAGGATGAGGATGATGAAGAAGAAGAAGAGGATGAGGATGAAGAAGAGGATGAGGATGATGAAGAAGAAGAGGATGATGGTGAGGAAGAAGAAGAAGAAGAAGAGGATGAGGATGATGATGAAGAAGAAGAAGAAGAGAGGAGGATGAGGATGAAGAAGAAGAAGAAGAGGATGAGGATGATGAAGAAGAAGAGGATGAGGATGAAGAAGAAGAGGATGAGGATGAAGAAGAAGAGAATGAGGATGAAGAAGAGGATGAGGATGAAGAGAGAAGAAGAGGAAGAGAAGAAGAAGAAGAAGAAGAAGAAGAAGAAGAAGAAGAGGATGAGGATGATGAAGAAGAAGAAGAAGAAGAAGAAGAAGAGGATGAGGATGAGGATGAAGAAGAAGAAGAAGAAGAAGAAGAAGAAGTAGGATGAAAATAAGAAGAATTCCAGTACAGCAAAAAGTGTATCTGCAGAGAGCTCCGCTATTTCTGACAGTTCTCTGACAGTTCCTTCACATTTACAGAGGTTGAAACATTGTATCTATTTGTTTCCGAATAAAAACATCTGTATCCTAAATGGAAACAAATAGATACAATGTTTCAACCGCTGTAAATGTGAAGGAACTGTCAGAGAACTGTCAGAAATAGCGGAGCTCTCTGCAGGGACACTTTTTGCCGGCTGTAGAAGGGATGAAAATCGGCCGATCGGGGAAAATTCGATTCGTGCATCCGAAGTATGCTAATTTTCGGATTCGGCGCGAATCAAATTTTTCCTAATATTCGAAACGAATTCCACTTCGCCAAGTTCGATTCGCTCATCTCTATTACTTATATTTGCTTCCCTAACACCTTTGTCGATTATTCAATAGTGATATTGTTTATATACATATACTGTATATCTTTCATCTCTTGAATAGCCTTTATTGCTTAAATTGTAAAACTTCTGTTCAATAAAATATTATTTAAAAAAAATGAAATACTGAAGGGCAGTGAGTGAATTAACCCACTAATGTTTAACAAACTTGAAAAATCACCTATGCAGGTGGAAGTTTTTTTGTATTTTTCTTTCTTTATATCTGTATGTATAATTTTGTCATTTCTCAAAAATATTCACTGCACATCTGCATATTTATTGATGGTGACTGCCTTTTCATGTCTTCATTTGAATTAAGTAATAGATTTAGTGAACTGCCACAATGCCATCTCAGTGGTGTTGTAACATAAACTTCAGTTTAGGAAGGCGATTTAAGCTACTGTGGTGACTCCCAGTATGCAGTAATACAATAGTTTTACTCCCTACAATATAATTTCCATCAGTTTATGGTGTAAGAAGATTACACCTTTGCATATAAAAAAATATTGTAAGAGCATCACAACCGTAAAAATCATCATATAATTTTACAATCATTGCATTTTCTTTGCACAAATGTATGTATAGTTATTTCCTTTCCTGAGGGCAGAAAAAGTAAATCCTGAATTCACTACATAAAATCTTCCATTGTTATTGATCTATAAGACCATCCATAATGAGCAGGTAACAGATCCTTCAGTTTAATAATCGCTTTGTGTTTTTAGCACTTTTCCTTTAGCAGTAGGGAACATATAGCTAATTCCACCCGTATTTAAAAGCTGCTGGGCATATAATAAAAAAAAAAATACCCCACCTAGAAAATGTGTACATCAATAACTTAGTGAAAATATAATATTTCAATAATAAATACATATATGTTAAAGGAATCTATAGAGAAGGAATTTGGATAAAGAACCCACCAGTGCTCACCTCTCCTTCTTCAAGTAAGTTACCTGGCCACCGTGATGCTCCAGCTGTGACAATACTCTCTTAGAAGGATGTCAATGATGGCAACCTGTTTTTTTTTTCACTACATTTTTTATAGTTGTTTTTTTTTTAATCTGAGTTTTAAATTATACAATCTTTGTTTTACAAATAAGGTTTTAGTAAATGACAAATAAGTCTAAGGGTGCTAAGGGTTTTCTAAAGAGGCAAAGTTGCTTGAGTTACTACTGATAGCTTGTTTCCATCACAAAAGAGAGCCTTTACAATGTGAAAAGAAGTAATTGGTTCTTTCAGACAGGAGCAGTACTGATCAATGCAGGATGAAAGCAAGGACACAGGGAAAACAATTGTTTTTATGTGTCCTTTTTCACAGCATACAACTATTTTAGTGAGGGTTGTGTGAAGATATAATGTGTGAAATGCACTATAGCACACAATGCACTATAGCAGACCACAGCATATTTGTACATTTGTAAAGTGCTAATGTGCATAAAGTAGATTGAAGTTTTATTTTGTGACATTTCATTAAAATTAAAACATAGTAAACAATCACAATGCATTACTCTGCCCATACACATCAGTGTGTATGCATCATATGGAGCATAATGCATGTAGGCTGGTGTGAACAGGCCCTAAAGCTCCATCAAAAAAGAGCTGGAAAACAACAATCTTCCTTCGCTTGGGGAGTAGGCCCAAAGGCACTAGTGGACTACAGTCATAACTTGGCCTTCATGGGGTGCACTTGCCTTGCTGCCCTTACAAGATTGGGGAAGTGTAGGAGCACTGCAGTAATGATAAGCAAACAGAGGGCACACCAGCCTAGTGCATTATCCTTTAAAATCATAAATTTAATGTAAAAAGGTAAGTGTTTTACTCACAAAGGTCATAAAGGTGCAAATGTATCTCATGAGTATAGCACAAACAGTCTGCAAATCATCAAAGTGTACAGAAACTATGAAACATATAAAGGTTGACGCATTTCGAGGACTTGGGCCTCTTGCGGACTGTTTGTGCTGTACTCATGAGATGTATTTGCACCTTTATGACCTTTGTGAGTATAACACTTACATTTTTTATATTAAATGTATGATTTTAAAGGATAATGCACTAGGCCGGGGCGCCCTCTGTTTATCCTAAAGCTCCATCTGCTGGCTTAAAAGAATAAAAAATGGATAATAATATATCCATATATAAACATTTTTAGATGACCTTTTTTTTTCTGAAAACACATGCACAGCTGCTCATTCAAATGAATGGGCTGCTGTGTCCATGCAAACAAGGCCACACACCCACCACAGTGTGAACCTAGTCTTAGAGATTAGTTAAAGGAATACGTGTGTTTTAGGAAGTGATTCTACTTGAATTGCTTTCAAAGACCACTGGATGAGTTTGTCATTTTTTTTCCCCAAAACATTTAAGTCTGGCTGGACATGCTTTGGATTGCATGTATACTTAGGGCCAGTTCACTCTACAAAAATGCACTCAGGATACTTACAGCTCACACCACACGCAGTTCCGGTTCAGTTTTGATGCAGTATGGTTCTATGCAGAAAAAATGCAGCATGTTCTACTTCTTTCTGCATCAGAAACTGACTGTAACTGACTGCACTAGTGTGAACCAGGGCCATTGGAATACATAGAAAACACTGTGTATGCATTTTTGATACAGAAAAAAAAAA